GTGGGAGGAAGAAGGCCTGCTCTGCTCTGCAAACCAGAGCCTTTTCTGTTTCTCTGCCAAACTCTGGACGGTGAGACTTCCGTGCGTGGGTTGATCCGTGCGGTCTGGTGGCAATCCTCGTACCTCTGTGCCCACCTTGCGGTGGCTGAGGGGTCAACCAGTCAGTGCTGAGAATGAGCTTCCATGCCCCGAGTGACAGTTACTACTGCCTTTCGCTGACACTCAGCAAGCAGGAGTGACGAACAGCTATGATGCCCTCCCTTTCTCCCTTGAGAGGTCCCTTTGTTCTCAGAATAATGAGAGCAGTGATTGCCTCCTGCAGAAGCTGCAACAGGCAAGGCATTTATTTAAATTATACCCTAATATCCGAGTACCCAGGTCGTGGCTGTGCATGGTCCTCGGCCTCTAAGCACAAAATGAACTCATTTCGTTTCCCAGCATCTGCACGCTGCAGAGCTTCCTGGGCGGGGTGCACTGTGGAGCGACCCCCCTGAGAGAGCGGGCTGGCAGCTGCGCCGCACGGGGTGGCTCCAAGGCGGTCAGTGCGTGAGCGTGCTGGGACATGGCGTGTGTTTTTAGTATTTAAAAAAAAAAAAAAGAACTTTTAAGAAGTTGCACTTTTCCGAAGCTTCTTAAACCTCAGGCACCTCATTTCGCTTAACGGCTTGCGGGGAGGGGTCATGCCGACTTAAGGTGCCTGCTTGCGTTCTAAACTTAATGTGAGCGAAAGCGTTCAAGGAGTCGGTCAGCTGCCTCAGCACGGGTTAGACACCGAGGGACGCAGTGTGGCCTGACGTGACCTGCCCGGGACCCCGATGCGCCCCCTCCTGCCTGGGGGCCTGGAGCGGGCCCCTCGCCTCTGGCTCTCAGGCGTGTGGTCTGAAGGAGACTCTAAAGAGTTCTGCGGAGTCCTGGATGCGGCTTGACTCACAGGGTTTCAGTGAGTCCGTATTTTGAACTTGGGTAGAAATAGGATGAGCGTCTTATGCTCTTCTAGATGATTCCGTGCAGATGACTTGTTTCTGTGTTTTCAGTGGCAGTGGAAGTGAGAGTCCCAGAAGTGGGGACTGTCTGCCGAGATAATAAACCCCTCCCCCCACTGCCCTGTGAGCAGGAAGGGAACCTTCCCAGAGGTTTTGTTTGCCCACTGAAGCGTGGATGGGTCACACAGTAGGTCGTTATAAGTTCACGTCACCCTAGGCTGGGGTGTTTCCTCCTCGGCTTTGTGGACATTATGGGGCTGAATAGTTCTTGGTTGTGGGGGACGCTTATCAGCATCCCTGGCCTCTCCCCACTAGACGCCAGGAGCACCAGCCCTTACACCGTGACAACCAAAAGTGTCATCAGACTTTATAAGATGTCCTCTGGGATTTTCTGGGAGCAAAACCCCGCCCCCTTTCACAGCCCCCTGGTGGAACCTCCGGGCTAGGTGTGACCTCCTTTGAAGACCAGGGACAGCGTGGGCCTTGCCCTGTGACAGTTTGTCATGATATGTTTATTTCAAGCTAAAAATATGTGTGGAATGATGAAAAGGAAGTATAATGTAGCTAAAAAATCTTTAAGAGATTGGCAAGCTCTAGCAGACCACATTATTTCAAAACAATTTTCACTTGGCTTAAATTTATTTTTACCAAAAAGAAGAAAGGGTACCAGCTAAAGGTCATTCTGAGAGTGAGCTCCTCGTCTTTCTGCAGTTAGTACTTTGCTAGACTCCGAGGGGACCAGGAGGATGCTGGCTCCTGTGCCCAGGAACTGGTGTCCCAGAGACTTTCCCCATCCCGAGGAGCAGGAATAGGGGACTTTATTGCCCATCAGGCAGAGATGGCCAGTGGGCCTTGGGCTGGAAGAAGGTGGGCGGTTAAGTGGTGGGTGAGCCCCAGGAGGCAGGCCGGGGTGCAGAGCAGGGGGGACCAAGGACAACAGGGGTGGAGAACAGATGTTTTTTCTTAGGGTTTAGATTAGTGAGTAATAGGCTGAACACAGGCACTCAGTGTAAGCGGCAAGGGCAGGGGACACGTTTGACAACTTCTCTCTGGGACCCCGGTGTCGAGACTTGGCGTGTTAACGAACATCTGTGGCATGAATGGATGGGACCTTTGAGGTGACTAGAATGAGGGATTCTAAACCCACTGCCCGTGGGGCCGGGTGCGGGAGGGGCCTGGGTACAGGAGGAAGGGAATGGCGGGGCTGTACCCACCTTGGTGGCTGCTGCCACCGTGACCGCTCCCTCAGCGGTGGACGCGTGGCGGGCACGTGCAGTGTGCCCGCTGCTATGCTAAGAGCTTCGCTCGTATTATTTCCTTAGGCTTAATCATACTTGTTTAAAAAAATAGAAAGTCCCAGGATGTGGAGCAGGCGGAGCCATGGGCTGAGCGCCTGGAGAGGGGGCCCCTTTCACTAGCCCCTTCATTCTCACACTGTGCCCACCGTCTTCCTCCGGGGTCCACACGCCTCTGCACAAAAGGGCACCCTTCTTTCCGCCCGCGCCCCGCTGTCCCTCTGCTGTTCCTCGGGCCCCTTCTCCTTGCTCTCCCCCCGCCTCGGGCTTTCTCACGGTGTCCCTCCTCTCTGGCTTGAGCCCCTTCTGCCCCCACGAACTCGGAGGGGACGAGTCCCATGTGAATGATGTATTCCTGGGAAGAACTTAAGTTTTGGATTTTGAATATTAGAGCAATCTGTCTTTTTGTTTGTTTGTTTGTTGTTCAAGTAGTTTAGTGACTCTTTGGCAAAGAAAACCCAGCATGCTGTGGCAACTGTGGGGCCTTTTCTTGCTTGTAAGAGACATTTATTAAGTCTTATGAAATCTGAAAGAATTATTTTCAAATGTTATTTAACATTCACGAAGCAATACTTTTATAACTTGAAAATGTCCCAAGCCTTGAGGACAATCTAAGCATTCTCTTAATATGTGAAAACGAAGTCCTTTTCAGAAAAAGAAGGCATTGAATAGTAAACGTAAGATATACTTTTTGGCATAGCCAAGTGCCTCCTTGGAGGTGACATGACCTTCCACCTCAGGCGGGAGGGACGGAGCTGGTGTGCACCTTCTATGTTTTGGATGACTGCTTTCGATCTCATTTCTTCAGGAGAACCCATCAGTAGCGAGCATTTTCATCGTGCGGTCAATGTGAACGATGAAGATTTGCTGGTTCGAATACTTCAAGGAGGGTGAGAGAACTCTGCTATTCAAGACTTTTAAAAAAATTTCTAGTGCCCGTAAAGTGCAGAGAAGTGCATGATACAGCTTTATTTTCCTAAATTGTCCCATGCCTTTGAAGCTGTCCCCATAATTGGTCTCGGGTGACTGATATGAGTTCAGCAGAGTGAAGATGATGATAAAATCCTGTGTGTTATATTCTGTAATTATTTAAAAAAGGAAACGACAAGTCTGAGAATCATATTTTCTTCCCAGAAATAATTTCCGACCCTTGCTTATATGCCGTAGCATTTAGGCACATTTCACCCTCCACAACGCCCACTTCTAATTCCTGATGAAATCAAGGAATCACCAAATCAGCTGTTTCTAATTCAAAGGCTGATAAAACGCTAGCAGAAAAATGGCCAATACAGTTGCTGCACGTGGGATACATGAAGCTGCCTCCTACACGAATGAGGACCGTGTTATCTGGGTTCTTTCTGAATCGGTAGTTTTGAGTGCCTGAGACGACACGTCATCTGTGAGTTGAGGCCCTTGTACGTTGGAGAACAGAATGTTCCCACAGAAAGCCAAAGCTGCTGAGCTGATACGGAGAGTCTGCCTTCTTGTTTTGGGGTAGCCCTTTCCGCCCAGTAGGGGAGGCAGGAGTCAGGAGCAGAGTGAGCGTGCCCACCTGTGCAGACCCCCGTTGAGGGGGCCCGAGGGCCTGCGGTGAAGACACTGTGTCCTCTGAGTTAAGGGGCCTGTGTTCCTGGCTTCCATGATGGTTCAGAGTTGAAGGCAGTGCCTACTGTAAGTAAAAGGACAGCAATTTTCTCTTCCTGTGGATTTGAATCTTTTAAAATATTCGGCAGGGCAGTCTAAGACAACAGAAATTTAACGGCCCAGGAAAAATTGGAATTTTCCATGAAATGAACCATTTCAGCCACCTGTGCCCCGCAAGAGACGTCAGCTGCAAATGTACAGGGAGCCAGGCCGGCCCCGTTAATGTCCTCTCTCTGTTTTTCCCAAGCAATGTGAAGGTTGACGTCCCCAACAAGTTTGGTTTTACTGCTCTGATGGTCGCTGCCCAGAAAGGATACAGCAGGTGGGCCTCGTCCTGTCTCATCCACAGCGAGTGGCTGAGCCGCTCCCCAAGGCTCTGGGCCTGGTGGGGAGGGGAGGGAGAAGGCGCTGGGGGGAGCCTGCTTCCTTCTCCTTTCCCAAACTGCACCCTCTGGGGGCCGAACAAACACTCGGCTGCTTTTCTCATAAAGTTATAGGATGTGCAGGAGAGCATGTAAACGTGCATAATCATACGGCGAGGAAGAGGGCCATGTAATCGTATTTCGCAATATATTTTAGATGTCCTGGGAAAATTTGGTATTAGAATTTGAATTTCTTTTAAAGAAAGAAAGTGAGAGGGGGAGCGTTTTGTGGGGGGGGGGGAGAGGGGATATTAATTCTGGAAAACAAACTGCCCTGCTAGGTTGCTAACATAGAATTTTCACCGATACACTCCATTACCTCTATCCCACACAGAGATAGGCATAAATACTAATAGCTTATTTTTCAATCATATTTATATTTTAACTGCTAAAATGCCATTTTGAAAAAATAGAAATGTTTTTATTAAATGTTGCCGCTTGAAAATATATTTAAAACGGCCATTAAAGTGACAGTGAACTAATTTCATAGTCCAGTCTGTTTATGTGGTATAGTGTCTTTTCAAAGAATGATTCATGTAAAGGGTGAAGCTTCTTTTTTTTTTTTTTTGGTATAGAGAGGTAGTTGTCAGGTTTAATAATGCCCTGTCTTTAAAGCCAGCTAGCCGCCGAAGATGGAGAGGAAAGTAGTGTGAAGACATGCCTCAACAGAGTGTTCATTTTTACTGGATCATTGGGAGTTCCTACTCATCGAAGCTACTTACTCGGCTACGTTTAAATGTGTTTGCTCTAGGCTTGTGAAAATCCTCATCTCTAATGGCACGGATGTGAATCTGAAGAACGGAAGTGGCAAGGACAGGTGGGTGGCTGCAATGTGCCTCAACTGTTCCCATACCTGTTTTACTAGGCTTGTACCCAAAGGTTCTGATTTCATGCAAATATTCGATCGCTCCTTTTGACAGCACGGAGGGTCAAGGACTAGTTCCCACGGGAAAGATGGCGACAACGGCACCTGGCTTATTCGTTTGTCCCCTCATTTAATGGAGTATTTATGGGTTCTCTGTTCTGATGTGTACACCTCCCCTCTGTAAGTGCCCAGCACATACCGCGTGCTCCATAACCGGTGGCCGTCACCACAGTTGTCACCCGCTCTGTGCTGGGCACTTTTATGTCCCGTGGGCTGTCACTGAGTTCTGCTTCACTGTGCTAAGTTGCTATTGTTTCCAAAGCAGCCGATGGCAACCACAGAATTGGCACCCGGAGCGCCGGGGGTGGGGGGCCGAGCGTGTCACGGGAGTGTGCGGGACGAGCACGATGCTCGGAAACCTATACTAGAGATGCAGGCATGTTTTAGAAAGGCTTAAACATCATCACCAAGCTACTGCTGAGGTTCGCTTAATTAATTTAAATCAACCAGCATTTATTGGGTGACTATAGGCTCTGTGCTTGGCGCTTGGGCGGAATAGTGATCAAAATGCAAAGCTAAGAGTCATGTGACACTGTGCACAGATCAAAGGTTTGTGCACTGCAAACTGGCATCTAAGGAGCAGCTGCAAAACACCGTAAATGGTGGGTCACAAAGGAAACATCCGTGTCTAAGATCAGAAAGCCCATTTATGCTGTTCTCTGGACACACACAGGAACAGATTTTGAATAATAACATTTAAAAAAAATCACTTGTAAATTTAAGCAACGGTTTCTCAACGAGTCCTAGGTAATTTTGGAGCTAAGCTATCAACTCAAAAAGGTTGAAAAGAGTAACGCTAATTTTAAAAGAAAAATGAAAAGAAAAAAATTACTTGAGGTAGGAAGAAGAAAGACTTAAAAGTAGAAATTAATTAAAAAATAAGGATTGAGAAGTATAAGAGCTACCTCTTAAAGAAGAAACTGTACAGTAAAACAGACCAGTTTCTTGTAAATTTAAGAAGAAAGAAAAATTAGAAAATTGAAAGGTTACATAACAGTAATTATGGAGGAAATTTAAACATAAAAAGAAAATGGTGCATTTGCATCTAAAATAGATTTGATAATTTCATTGAAATGGGTACTTTTTCTGAGAAAATTTACACCAGCAAAACCAACCCAAGAAGCAGAAAATGTGAAATAACCAATATTCATAGGAGAAATTAGAAAATCTCTTAAAGGATTACCTCCAATACAAGCTCTGTGGCGTGGCTGTTTTACTAGTGAGCTCGATCAGATTTTCTAGGTACTGAGAAAAACCTTGAAACTTATCGGAACAGAGAGGAAGCTGGAAAGCTACCGAGGATATTCTTACTGCTAAAATCTGAGAGAGGACGAAAGTTATTTGCATGTCTGCATATGAAGACATGTATATTACTCTTCCATCCCAACTGAGAGGATCGCACAGGCGGGTAAGGGTGTCTGGTACTAGGAAATTCCCTATAGTACTTTCCATCAGTAGACCGAAGGTGCAGACCTGTGTGTGTACGTGTGTGTGCATGTGTGCACGTATCTTACTTAAGTGCAGGATACTTTCATCCTAGGGACAGTGTCCTGCGGGAGGACCAGCCTCCGCCGAGCACGCGAACCCTTCGATGGCACCATACAAAGTTGTCTATCATCTCACATGACCACCTGGCATCATCCTTAGTGTTGACAGATTCCTTTGAAAAATTAGTAACGAAGCCCAGGAGAGCGGTCGAGAGCCAGATAGCTTGATGTCAGATCCTGATTCCCCTGTGGACGGGGGTGTGACCTTGGGCGGGTGATTTCACCCCTCTACACCTCAATTTCCCCATCTATAAAAGAGGGATGATAGAAGTACTTCTAGACTTGAGAACACTCAGCTCATATATAAAAAATGCTTAAAGGGCGCCTGGCGTATGGTAACTACAAATTATGTGTTGCTGCTTCGTGGCTGGTATTTTGGAAGGCTGATCAGCTCAGTAAGATATGAACTAGGGTAAGAAGTATGGTTCCTTTCCTGCAGAACCCGAGAGAACCAACGTTCAAATACTTAATAAGGAGGTTCAGTAAAATGGCCAGCTAAAACATAAAGAAACACATTTTCTTAAATAGTGGCAATAACTGGTTAATAAATATAATAGATGAAACAAAGTAGAATAAAAAACAAAATATCTAAGAAAAGTAAGACATTTGTATAAAAAAAACCTATAAAAATTTACTGACAAGATAAAGATTTAAAAAATAGGGACGTATATGCCAGGATGGCAAGATCAAATATTATAAAATTTTCAGTTTTTCCCAAATTATAGGTTCATTATAGCCTCAAATGGAATTTTTCTTGGGAACTTTTCAAAAAGATTCTATAATTTACCTGGGGGAACAGCTAGATGATGCTAGCTACTAGAACTTTGTCAAAGAAGAATGTGGAAGGACTTGCTTTGATCGTTATTGACATACCTCATGAAGTTATAAGTAATTAAAGTAGTATGATACAGTACAAAATATTGGAAAGAGGGTAGAGTGGAATGTAAATCCTCAAACAGATCTCTGTGTACATTAGAAATTAATACGTGACGAGAGGAGCGACACAGACCAATGAGGAAGACGTTGGAAGAATAGGCTGCTTGGAGAAAAAAAATTAAGTCAAATCCCGGCCTTCGAGCATGCACCAAAATACATTCCAGATAAATTACGAATTAAATGTGAAAAACGAAACTGTAGAAAACCACTGGAAAACACAGGCATATATCTATCTGATCTTATGATGTGAAAGACAAAAGGATTATAAGAAATCACTAAGAAAAAGATTAAGAATACATTACACATTTCCAAAAACTTAATTACAGAGTTAAGGACCATCCGGGGAAAGATTTACAAACGTAGACAAATGACTGGCACCTTTAATATGTAGAAAATACATTTACACCCAAAAAACTGTACACAGTAGAAAAAGCAACTTATACAAAAAGACGATTCATAGCAGAACGAATTAAAAATTAAAGTGAAAAATGTTTAGCCCTGCTAATAATAAAATTAAAAAAAAAAATTTCACCTATTATACTGTCTGTTAAAAAACCGATAGCAGTTGTTGGTATAGGGCGAGTCAAAGGGATGCTTTCAGGACAGGTGAGAGAAGCGGGAACTGATGTAGGCTTCCTGGAGAGCACCGTGACCCTGGCAGGTAGAAGGCCACCCCTGTGCGGGTCTCCAGGACGTGAAGGCCTGCGTGAGGGCACAGTGCTGAGGACCACCGGCCCCCTTCCAGCCCGGCCCGGGCTTGGGGCTCAGCACTGGACGTTCTGTGGCACAGAGACGTGGTACTGCTTCCTGCTGGGGTGACTCCCTCCCCACACACCCCTCACCCCAACGCTTTATTGTGAGAATCTCAAACATTTATAAACATTAACGGAATAGTACAGTCAGCAGCCCACACCTTGCTCCTGGCTGTTCTGTGTCTTTGGTCTTTTTTCTTCTAGACTGGTCTTCTGTCCTTAAAAACATTGTTTTCCCGATAGCCATGACTTCTTGAGGAGATGAGACCAATTATCGTCCAGAAGACGAATGCCCGTGTAATTTATCCGCCTAATTGCCTCCTAGTTGAGGAGGCGATTAATTTGTTCGTTCCTCCTTTTATCCCCCGTAAAGTTGAAATTGGGTTTAAAGGTTTGCTCAGGTTCAGGCTCACATTTTTAGCAGGAACACTTGGGACGGGTGTGGTGACGGCAGGACGCACCCAGCGGGAGGTCTGTGACGCAGTCCTGGTTCCGGGCTCGATCTTTTGTTTAGGGCGCCACAGCTGAATCTCCTCTGTGAGGCTACAGCCGCCCAGTTAGAAAGCGGTCTGGGGCATAGTGCTCAGCATCCTGCGACTGTCCTGTTCGCCAGCAATCTGTCATTCGATTATAATAGCGGCCACCGATGATTCTCGCCCGAATCAATTATTTAATTGGTTTCAGTTAGAAAGTGATTTTCTAATTCCGTGATTCCTGTTATGTTCATTAGCTGGCGATCTCAGAGCTGTTCCTCCTCAGCTGGGACGGGACTGCGTTTCATTGTATATCTGCAGAGTAAATGTTTGTTTTCTTTAAATACCAATATTTAGAGTAAGGAATTGGTTTAATAATTCAGTGTCAAATGAGTATTTTTTTTCCCTTTCTCTTTTTCGAATATCATCATGAACCGGTGGATGTTTTAAAATCCAATATCTTATTCAATTACAGTGATTATTATTTTTTTTTAACTGAGATTTATTTTATATGACATAAAATTCACTCCTTTACAATGTACAGTTCAGCATTTTAAAATATATTAACAAAATCGTGCAACTGTAATTCCAGAACATTTCATCAGCCCAGAGAGGCCCCGTACTCATCAGTAGTCAACTTCCATTCCCTCTACCCTCAGTCCGTGGCAAGTCCTCACCTGTTCTGTCCCCACGGACTTGCCTAATCTGGACATTTCATATCAATGGGATCATATAACACGTGGCATTCCGTGTCTGGCTTTTATTAGCATAGAGTTTTGAGGTTCATCTATGTTGGAGCATACATCAGTAATCCATTTTATTTTTATGACCAAATAATATTCTGCTGTGTGGATATACTACACTTTATCTGGCCATTCACCAGTTCGTGGACACATATACATTTTATATGAATAATTTTCATGGCCTTTCCATTCAAATTAGGATGGCTTCCCTGGGTGACGCCAGGTAGGGTAGAACGCAGACCTGAGTTTGGTGACTGTACTCATAGAGCCAAATGCTTCTTCTGTGCGTTGCAGTTTGATGCTCGCATGCTATGCGGGGCACCTAGACGTGGTAAAGTATCTCCGAAGACACGGTGCCTCCTGGGAGACGAGAGACCTGGGAGGCTGCACGGCTCTGCACTGGGCTGCGGACGGAGGCCACTGCGACGTGATCAAGTGGATGATAAAGGACGGCTGTGAGGTACGGGTCCCTGCGAACCACACGCTTGTTAGGAACCTGGAAAGTGTCCCACGGGGCCTGTGAGGAGCGGGGCCCTCAGCTGAACTTGGACATGCCGGAGGGGGCTCTCTGGCTTCTCAGAGAGAAGGCTCCCGAAGCCGTGGGTAGAAAGGCAGTCGTAGAATTGACACGGTAGTGAGGCTTCAGGCGGCCGCGGAGGTTCGTCTCGTCG